TATTATATTCAGTTCAGACATTGTAGCTATAGACTATTTTGTATTTTATTAAATTGGATAAGCTATCATATAGCTCTCAAGTCAAATATTAGCCTCATTCCTTTTCCTTTTTTTTCCTTTTTTAAATTCAAAGATGTACTTTTGAAATACACACCACAAGATGAACTTGGTTTGGTGATTATCAATAATTATTATTAACAATTATTGGCATTTATATTATAGTTTTTTTTTTTTTAAATGCGGCGTTATTTCTAGGCTTCTAGCTATACCTTTCGCATTCATATTTTATTGGTAATGTTCTTATATGGATGATTAAATTGGAAAATAACAAATTTCAACGACTTTGTTATTTATTCGTAACAGACTTTTTTATAATGGTTATTATTTATAATTAATATTTCTCTATCTCTCTCTATATATATATCATAATCATGTTTTCTATGGAACGGATTTTTTATGTTATTTTATAGCATATGTGTTTTATATATATTATCATTTCACAGTTAAAGGAATATCGAAACAAACAATATTATTATTTAAAAAGTACGTACAAGTATAATATTATTGTTTTACCTTTTAATATTTTAAAATTATTACAAATTGATATGCTAAATAAAATTACAATTTATAATATTTTTTTATTTAGTTTTTTTGAAATAAAACATTTTATATATGAAATATTGAGTTGATCTAATTTAATTTTATTTCAAAAACTAATTAAATTGACTTTTGAAAAATAAAAAATGATATTTAATTTGGGATGGAGAAAAATAATATTCAAATATAAAATATCTACAATTTGTTGACTTAATTTTAAATTTCTAAGTCAAGCTGATAACTAATCCAACCTCAAAGACACGTCAAATACTATGCCACATTAATTTGCCCTAAATTCCATCCACTAATTAACTTTCTCAACTCTATATTTTATTTTTATTCTTGAACAAAGATGGGGACAAGTAGCGGCATTTCACTTTCACTATTAATTTTTTTAAAAATTAGTTACGAATTTTATCGCTAATTTATTGATAAATAGATCTTAGTTGATAAATGTTTTTGATAATATATCGCTAAATAAGATTATATAGAATGATTTTATTGTTTAACTATAATATTTATCCAACGCTAATCTCTATTTTTCTAATAACATTTGTCCTAACTCCTAAGCAATTCTAGATTTACATACTGTAACATTCTAAGCAAATCTCGTATCGATAAAACACATAAAATATAAAATATGTTAAGTATACAAATGCACACGAACGTCGACGTTGTCAAATACATATTATATTCTGAAGTAGACAAGTTAAGAGTTATACTATTAAAATCAGTTTAAGTTATGTATCACCGGACTTGATTCTCTTCGGAAAAAACAGTGAGATATGCCAGAATATTAGAAAGGAAAATTGATATGTTTAAATTAAAAAGGAGCAATAATAGGTAGTATAAGATTTGTCAACGTATCACTAACAAATTATAAGGGTCGGCCATTGGTTATCAATAATCTGTGAATTATTGGAACTAATACAAGTATTAAATTTTGAGATGTCTTAAATTTTATACTTTTAGGCCGACAATTTGGTTTTCCATTTGTTTAATTATTTAAAATCTTATTTGACTAATAACAATTTTTTGAAGTTATAAAAATGCCACGAGTAATAATGTATCCTAAAGTCAAAAATTATTTTCATTCTTTGATTTCTTTTCTCTTTTCAAATGAATTATTCTTAATGATTCACAATTTTTTTTCCTTCTTTTGAACAATCATTGGCAAATAAATTTAATAAAGTGCTATTATTTCAAGTTATACCTTCCGTGTACGTTGGAGATGTCTTTAGATACATGATTAAGGTGGAATAACAACAATTAATTGTAACATCCCGTCTTAGAAAGAGTTAAATTTAGAAAGAACTAATTTGGGAAGAGTCAAATCTGAAATTTTGCAAGTTATGCTTAAGCTGTGAGTTTGGGATCAACTTCAAATGGTCATAACTTTCAGTACATGATGAGTTAGGTGACCCATAAGATATCAAATGAAAGGTCTTGGAATCCTCTTTCCAACGCCACTGAGTTTGCTAATTTTCGAGCTTATATGAGGGAGATATGCCCGTTTGAAGTCTGTCTGCACAGTTAAGGAAAGTTACCCAAAATGTGAGGGATATTTTGGTCTTTTCCTTACCCCATCAGATTAAAACGTTTTTAGTAAGGATTTAGGGGTATTTTACCCAAAAATAAGTGTGATATACTAAAAATACAAAGGCATACAAGTGTATGTCGTATGTATCTTCAATGTCAAGCAATTATTTGTTGTACGTATATATGTTTAAATCTGGATCATCTTCTTTATATTGTAATTGCATGTGTTGATACAAAAAAAAATTAAGTGAACGCATACAATCTATGCAACTTGGTGATAATTGAACAGTAACTATAAATGAATACGAGAAAAATTAGAGTGAATAAATATAAGTGATACCAGCTTATACAATAAAGTGAACGAATACAAGTGAAGTTAGAGCATACAAGTAATACAAGTTGGTAATAATTAATACAGTAGAATAAATAAATACAAGTGAAGTTAGAGCAAATGAATAGAATATCCCGTATTTTTGTTATTTTGTGTTGATTGTATTCATTGTACGACCAAATACATTTAATACATGTATATTCATCGCGTGAATAAATACAATTGATGCAAATTATATTCATTGCGCAAACGAATACATTTGACCACAAATAATATTTTTTTTAAAAATACCTATGAGTTGGTAACGGTTTTAAATTTGTGAATGTGAAAGTTAGCTTACAATTTATTGACATTAAAGTTGCGGTCTTACTGTTCCAACTGATAATTTACACCACTTAAATTCAGTGTACCTACTCCTGTCCATAATAAGTGATATATTTTGGTTTCTGGCAAATAATTTTTCAAAATAAATAATTCCTCCTTTGTTTTTATTTATTCATAAAGAATTTGTACATTTTTTTAATTATGAAAAATAATAAATGAGGTGTTTATTTTACTATAAATTAATGCTTCTAACTTATCATCGTCAAACATAATAATTAATATATACTTTTTTCGTTTTAATTTGTTTGTTTGGTTTGATTTGTTACGGAGTTTAAAAAATTAAAGAAGACTTTTGAATTTTAATATTTTTAAACTAGAGATATGTAGAATGTACCAAAATGTTATTTGATCTTGTGATCTTAAATATATCACATGAAAAGTTGCAATTAAAGAATATCAAGAAAAAAGAAAAAACACTTTCTTGAAAATAGACTAAAAAGAAAAATAAGACAAACAAATTAAAACAGAAAAAATAGTGTTTTTTTTAAACTATTTCTATTATTTTATACTTTGTATCTTAATTTGGCTAGACATGAAACTTAAGAAGGTAAAGAAGATGCTTAAATTAAGTGGTTTTAAATTAAATGCATGTACAAGTATAAAAGAATATTCTTTTCATTGTATGATTTTAAACATGTCACCTCATCCTTATAATATAAGCAAGTACTATTAAGGATAAAATGAAAATATTAGCATTAAAAATTTACTAAATATAAAAATATGACATTTTAAAACAAAAGTAAGAAAATAAATTAGATCTGTATGTGATACTATTACAATTTGGAGAGAATCAAATGAGTTTTGCTTGACCATGTATTCTTTTCAAATATATTTAATTGTAATTATTTTGACTTATAAAATTCTAAATATGTAAATACTATACAAAACATAGAGAATCTATGTTCAAATAATCAAATTCACACACAAAAAAATGAGCCCGTTTAGATTGACTTAAAAAAATAATTATTAAGTCAAAAATAAAAAGTCGCAGGAGATATATTTTTGATTTTTTGACTTATTTTAAGTCATTTTAAACTTCTTTTAAGTTATTTTTTTTTTACCTTGTCAAACACTTTCTAACTTATTTTAAGTTATTTTTTTATATTTGTCAAACACTTTCGAAAGTCAAAAACTGACTTAAAAGTAGGTTTGACCAACTTTTAATTCAATCCAAACACCCTCTTTGACTCTCGTATTCTGAATTGTGACACATAAAATGAAACAAAAAGCATGTGTGACTTACAAAAAATATAATGTTTTTCAAGTAATCAATTCTAGCAAAACATAAACATACTAGACAATTTTTTTTTCATCTATTCATATTTTGTTATAAAAATATTAGATAATTTTTTTTATGATTATAAAAGAAATAGAACGTAGAGAATTTTAGAACCTATTTGAATTGACTTATTGCTTTTGACTTATTTTTGTATTGTAACTTAAAATGAGTACTTAAAATTACTTTTTACTTTTACTCAAACACTATAAATATTAAAAAGTAATTTTAACTTAAAAATACCTAAAATAAATCAAAATCCAAAATACTTCTAGTTTTTGACTATTATTCATTCGACATCTTCTACTTTTTTTCCTTGGAGACTTTTGCCTCAAATATAGTGGCGAGACCCTAAAGTCTAGATCACCATAGACTTTTCAAACATTAGACTTTTCTTCAAATAAAAACAAGGTTGTCTCTTTTAACTTTTGTGAACCTAGACCATATTATGTCACTATTCAAACAACCTCAATACCCCACATTATTTGGAACTTAATTAAAAACTCAAATCAAGACGATATACTTTATAATCTATTTATCTGATTTTAACTTGATATAAAATTTTAAAAAATAAAAATGACTTTTAATTATGCATTTAAATTAAAGATACACAAAATATATTAAACTGTTGTTGAAATTAAAGAATTACCGAAAAGGGAGAGTACTAGTTAATTTGTGGAATTTAGTGTCTTTGTTTTTCCCTCCCTCATATTCACACTTGAAGCTTTAATGGAAAAATAATTAATGGTACTTTTTTCCCCTTTTTGTACAAACTCTAATAATCTTCTTATATCTTCATATTTTAATACTCTAAATAACTGTCAGTCTCTCATTGTGCCCTTTTCACCCCACTTTCTTTGAACCTTTTTTTTTCTCTAAATTTTCTTGATAACCAAACAAATCATAACAAGTTTGAGGTTTTTCTTTTGACGAATCTTATAATTTGCCTTTTTTTCTATTTTCCTTTTGATATGATTAGAGAGAAAAAATATTTTTCAGTGGTGTTAGATTCATTGAACCAGGACAGCATTTGGTTTCTTGCATCTTGTTCCTCTTGAAGGTTTGTTTTTTTTTTCTCTAAAAAAGTAATTTCAGAATAAGTGGAATTTTTTATTTTTTATTTTTTAATTTGGACCATAGAGTGTGCATATCTTGCTTTATGTTGTGTTTGCCTTTTCAAAATACTGTTTGTCTCAACATTTTTGGCTACATTTTACTTTTTGAAAGTCGCAAATTTAAAATTTTAAGTTTATGAATTGTAATATTACATGTGTGCTTGCTTTCATTTACCCCTAGAGCTTTGGTTTAGTGTTAGACTGAGGTATATGTTGGTTAGATGCACATTATTGATTTGAATTATGTTATCGACAAAATGCTGGGGATTTAAGTGAGGAAATATAGAAAGAGGAGCCCGTTATTCATGGAGTTTCGAACCATGAGCCATTGACCTTTCGAGATTTCTCTGCTAGAAAAAGTGCTAGTTTGTGATAATATGTGCCATTTCTTTTTTAGAAAAAGGAAATATTTTGTTTTATTGTAGACCATTAATTTCACGAATATTTTTCCCCCTTAAATTCGTGTCTATTAAAATGCATCATATGAATTGGGACAGATGGGTATATATTAATAAATTATGGGATAATATGCTTCTAAAAAGTTTCAATAAAAGTGGATACTATCCTCTTAATAAATAATCATGACTTTTTAATTTTTAATGTCGATATTAACCATTTACGTGTTTCATTAATTTTGTTTTAAAATAAAAAGTCACATAACTACACGTTTACCCTTTTGAAGTTCTTTAAATATAATAATTAATTATATATGGGACCTAAAGATAATTAAGTAGGTAGAAAAAATTTCATTTCTTTAATTTATAGGTACTAATTTGGTCCACTATCAATGGTTTTTAAATAAGGCGTATAAAAGTTGGATTTTGTCTAGCCATTGCATATTTGTTCTCCAAAAATTGGAATAATAAACTTCTTTTATTATTTGTCCGTCCTTTGGGATGACTCGGTTGGTTTAGAGGAAGGTTATCCATATAGACGACCCAGGATCACTTCCCCTCAATGCCTCTTGTGGTTCACATCTCCCGTGTCACCGTGTGATTTATAGACTATTACACAGTGGAGTGTTTTATCGTTGCGGGTTATCCTGGGTTCTTAAAAAACAAAAACAAAAATGAACTTTTCTGGAAATCATATAAAAAATGTTCTAAAGTACAGAAAGTTGTTCACTTAAAGGCAAGTGACATTCTGTTCTATAGCTACACCGCTTAATATTCGTTATTATTACTATTAAACATCTTAATAGTAGAACTACTTTCGTATGTTTTATTAAACAGCTAAAGAGAATGAGCATGATCATGGAATTATTCAGTGGCGGATTCAAAAATTAGATGTTATGAATGCTGTGAGTTCTTAGTTGAGAGAATGAGTTTCGAAATGTATATGTTACTCCTAAGTTAACATCAAACAAGATATTTTACGCGATCTTTAGTATATGCTTACATTAGAATAAATTCCTCAAAACAGAACAAATTCAAGCATCAAACAGACGTTAAGCCTTTTTCACTTGTCGTATGTTGAACAAAGTATCATGTTCTGTTTTATGAATTTGAAGTTATTCTAGATTTCGTCCTAGTGAAAAATATTGGCACCATGTGAGGTGAATTACATGCCTAATTCTGAACAACATACCGAACTTTGGTTGTCTATTGTTCAATCTTGTCATACTAGATGTGTTCAAATTATAGAGGTTATTAACATTTCATGCTCACTTTGTGTAAATCAATGGTTATCGACGATCCATCTGTCTTTTAGACAGAATATAAAATTGTTCTGTAGCTTCTAATAATAGTATGTGCCAGGCAAATGCTTACTTTTTTAGCACACCACTAATAGTCTTGTAGAGTTAAAACTTTAACTTGTAAGTCCTCTAGAGTTATCTATATAAGGAACAAGCAAGAACTTTCTAATGTAGTGCAAAGTTCAGTAAGTTTAGGAACTAAAAGTTTCCCTCTGTGTTCATCGAATTTTTGAAAGGGTTGGTGTAACTTCTTGTTTTATCACATGGTTTTACATCTACTAGAAGTTGATCTAATATATTGACTGAGGGCACGACCTTAGATAAGAGCGTATGGAGGTCGTGGATTAGGGTAGAAGGTTAGTAGATAGTCGAGTGTTATCTTGTTTTTCGACAGGATAGGGCTTGGTGGTAGTCTAGAGCACCGTGTCTGTTGTAGGTAGTATTAGCCTTATTCATGTAGTTTCTAGCTTTTGGTATCTGTCATCATTTGTTGTTTACTATGTTTAGGTGATCGCACTTGTTATTGATGTTTCTTGCACTGCTTTCCTATTAGTTGTTATGTTTTCTTAACTACCGTTTTTCCTTTCCATTACTACTTTGATTTGCTTCACTTGAGTTGAGGGTCTTTCGAAAACAGTCTCTCTACCTCCACGAGGTAGGGGTAAGGTTTGCATACACTTAACATACGGTGTTGTTGATTTGGCTGCAATAACTAGCTTGAATGAAACTTTAGTATTTCGTATGGTGATATAACTCAATTGTATTTCCTCTGCATTACAGGTGAATTAGGTGTTCTTTTCTAGCATGGCTAATTCTAATGCTGACGCAGAAGAAAAAAAAGAGATGGACATAAGGAGTTTCTCTTCGTCACAACACAACCAAACACCCTATATTCACAAGGTTGGAGTCCCTCCAAAACAGGGCATATTCAAAGAGTTTAAGACTACTGTGAAGGAAACGTTCTTCGCAGATGATCCACTACGTCCTTTCAAGGATCAACCGAGGTCTAGGAAGGTTGTACTTGGTTTACAGGCCATATTTCCGATACTAGATTGGGGTAGAAGCTATAACTTAAGAAAATTCAGAGGTGACCTTATCTCTGGTCTCACCATTGCAAGCCTTTGTATTCCTCAGGTAAAGAGTGTGCCTGGACTATGTTGCTCGGATCCTCCGAAAATGCATAACTTGTAGAGGATACGACACATACCTGATGACATTTTCGAAGGATCTCAGCAATATAGTGCAGGGAGGATTTGTATTAATGAAATCAAGATTGTTAGGATCTTTACAAAACTCCTATAAAAAACTTTCAACTTGTATGACAGGACATTGGCTACTCAAAGCTTGCAAATTTAGCTCCTCAGTATGGATTATGTAAGTGTTCCTTGTTAACTTTATTTTTATTAATAATTGCGAATGTCCTTTTTCATTCTTCTCTTTGTTTGAAATTCCAGACTCCAGCTTTGTACCACCTCTAGTTTACGCCTTCATGGGCAGTTCAAGAGATATAGCCATAGGGCCTGTGGCTGTTGTGTCACTCTTGCTAGGAACTCTGCTCCGGAATGAAATTGATCCGAGTAAACATCCAGATGAGTATCTGAGGCTTGCTTTCACAGCAACCTTTTTTGCTGGCATTACTCAGGCTACTCTTGGGATCCTAAGGTGATTAAAACATTTGAGTATCGAGTTGGATGTATAGTCAAACCTCTATATAACAGTCATCCTCTATAACAACATTTCGCTATAACGACCAAGTTCTCTTTGAAACAACTTTTTCATATTACATTATATCATATGTTCTCTATAACAGTCATTTTTCTCTAGCAGATGAATAACATTCAGAAAAACGACATTGTTATATAGAGGCTTGACTGTATTTGTTCTTTGTTTCCTTCTCTTTCTGACTTGCCCTCCCGCGTTGTTTTCTTGGCAGATTGGGCTTCTTGATAGACTTTTTATCTCATGCTGCTGTTGTTGGATTCATGGGTGGTGCTGCCATCACAATTGCCCTTCAGCAGCTTAAAGGTTTTTTGGGCATTAAGAAGTTTACTAAGAAAACAGATATCATTTCTGTGATGAAGTCAGTCTTTCATTCGGTAGAACATGAAGTAAGTTTTCTGGTCACTCGAGAGCATCCTACCTAAGATGTCTTTTATGGATAACTTGAAATTTTGCAACAACTTGCAGTGGAATTGGCAGACAATACTCATCGGAGCTACCTTTTTAACTTTCCTTTTGTTCGCGAAGTACATTGTAAGTGTCCTGAGCTCTATCAATTAAATTTTGAAAGAATTTGGTGGCGTTAACTCGATGCTAAGATATTTTTGATAACCAGGGAAAGAAGAATAAAAAGCTGTTTTGGGTACCTGCAATTGCTCCTTTGATTTCTGTCATTCTTTCGACTTTTTTTGTCTACATTACTCATGCTGATAAGAAGGGAGTTGCCATTGTAAGTTCTTGTTTTAGATTCTTCCTACTTTCACTCAACTTTCCATCATTGGAGTTAAATGATGATCTCTTTTTAATCGACTAGTATAACGATCTTACCAGGTAGGACCAATAGAGAAGGGAATCAATCCTCCATCTGTCGATAAAATATATTTCAGTGGTGACTATCTCATAAAAGGGATTAGGACTGGTATTGTAGCTGGCGTGATTGCATTGACAGTAAGTCAAATCTTGAATGAAATGTCGAAGAAGGAACCTTTACACATTTCTGTACTAAATGTATGATCTATTACCTTTTCATTCATAGGAAGCTGTTGCAATTGGAAGAACTTTTGCTTCAATGAAGGACTACCAGTTGGATGGAAACAAAGAGATGGTAGCACTTGGAACTATGAACATCGTTGGCTCGATGACATCCTGTTATGTAGCTACAGGTAAGACGAATCAACAAGCAAACGGAGTATGATCAGTAATGATATAATGTGTTTTTAACTTTCAACACATTAGTTTGTTTGTCTAACTAGTTGATCGATTCACCTCTTGCAGGTTCCTTTTCTCGATCAGCAGTAAACTACATGGCTGGCTGCCAAACTGCATTTTCCAACATTGTCATGTCTGTTGTCGTGTTCCTAACTTTGGAGTTCATAACCCCTCTTTTTAAGTTTACTCCGAATGCAATCCTTGCTGCCATCATTATCTCAGCTGTACTCGGCTTAATTGACTATGAAGCAGCAATTTTGATCTGGAAAATCGATAAATTTGACTTTGTTGCTTGCATTGGAGCATTTTTTTGGCGTGGTTTTTGCCTCTGTTGAGATTGGTCTTTTGATCGCGGTAAGTCCATACAGAAAAACTTAGCAATCTCATCTACTTAAATGTATCTTTCAGTAATAAGATCTGATAGTTACTTTCATTTTCCAAAGGTAACAATATCATTTGCTAAGATTCTCCTCCAAGTCACGAGGCCACGAACAGCTACTCTAGGTAGGATACCGCGGACAAATGTATATAGAAACACTCAACAATACCCCGAGGCAACCAAAGTTCCTGGTGTATTGATAGTTAGAGTTGATTCTGCTATATACTTTTCAAACTCTAACTATATAAAGGAAAGGTAAACTACAGTTCTTCCCCTTTCCCCCCTTCTTTCATATCTTTATGTACTACGAAAAAAATGAACTTAACAAACTAATCAACGCGTTTTTCAGGATATTGAGATGGCTAATGGATGAGGAAGAACAACGAAAAGCAGCTAGTGATCCTAAAATTCAATTCTTGATCGTTGAGATGTCACGTAAGTAGAGATTATAAGTATGTTATCTTACTCTGAGATGACATATTGATCGATCCATCCTTCGTGTTTTTTCTCCTTGTAGCTGTTACTGATATTGACACCAGTGGCATCCATGCCTTGGAAGAGTTGCATAGAAGCCTAAAAAAGAGAAATGTTCAGGTAAATCATCTTTACATATGTGAAAAATTACGAAAATTTCAACTAACGTGTCTATAAGACGTCAAGTTTAAATTCTGGATTTGCCTCTGTACTACATATATGACTCGGAATCTTACCTTCATTTTTTCTTGTACAGCTTGTTCTGTCGAACCCCGGGAGAGTTGTGATTGACAAGCTACATGCATCCAAATTTCCAGATCAAATTGGTGAGGACAAGATTTTTCTCACAGTTGCTGATGCTGTGCTAACATGTTCATTAAAATTGCCTGAAGAAGTTTAATATTGTAAACAAAATTTTATTAGGCCGGGGGGGGGGGGGGGACATATCTACCAAAAGTATACAAAAAAGGAGTTGGATTCAATTTTTAGTGACTTGTGGGATCCTCAAAAAAAGTGATTGGACATTTTATCCAAAAAAAGATAGTGGCCCTTTGGTTCTTAGCCAAATTGCCAAAAAGAATTCTTGATTGGTTAAAAGTTAGTGTAGTTATAATATAGTCTTTTTCATAAGAGTTTCCCTTTGTCTTTTCTTGTTTTTATTAAGAGGCTATTAATTATGTACTACTAAACAAGACCTCTGTAAAATAGTTTTAAGATGGTTTTGTTGACCATGTTAACAAAGATTATAGTGTTAACGCGAGATGTTTTATGTACTGAACTGTGTTTTCGCTCCTTTCTTTAAATATGCACTGACCATGGTAACAAATAGTATCTTCATACGTGATTATTGTTGGTTTTAGCTATTAAGTGGCTAAGATCGTTGGTGTTTAAATGAAATTTCTAAGATCCCGGAGTTTAACCATTAAAGACCACCAATTTGACGGGCAAACATTTAAAGACCACCCTGGAAGCTAGAGAAATTGTTTTCGATAGACAATCAATCGATTTTAACTTCATCCACCAACATAGACATAAATATATTTTAAGGCATTGACCAAAGTTCTGTCAAGACTTGGCACTCTTGCTCCACCCCTACTTGGAGAAAATTCTATTGGGAGCGCCACCCTCGAATGAGCCCTGCAAAGCGCGATCCGGATATAGTCGAAGCTCCAATGTGGGCTCCGGACACCGGGTGGGAAACCAAAAAAAATTAAAAAATACTATGAATAACACAAAATAATAATAGGGGAAAGAGAAATAGAGGATGGTCAAGAGAAACTCAGTACTGAATCAGCAACTAATAGGAGCATAAATTACAGCTCATATTTTATTCAGACATTCATTCAATAAATAAATTTCAAGGCTAACCAATTGTTAGACAGACTATAAGATGACAATGTAATTATACATAATAGAGTGATCAGGTTTGCAGAAATTTCAATATAGGAGCCTGCTGAACCGAGAATATTTCTGCTCAAACGAATGAAGACTACATCCTGCTCACTCTCAAGATACTAATATTTACACTCCACCAGACAAATTTAAACCAGTGGTTCTGCCTGGCTTCTACAATGTATTATCGACAGTGAAGAGAGAACAATCATTCATCATGGTACAGATTGTGTGCTAACCGCGCTGCTTCTCCAAAGAGGTGGATGCACTGGTTGGCAGGAAACTGTCTTATCAAATGGAAGACAATGATTGCTGACAGGTTACGAGATGCTTGACTAATTAAGCACCTTTTTTAGGTCACTGATCAATTGCTCTCGTGTTGCTGGCTCGACCTGCACATGGAAACATGAAGTTTTTATTAAGGCACCTTAAGCAGGTAAAGATAAAATGGATGAAAATGTTGATGCTACAGGAGAGACTTTGATTGCTAACCTTCTGTAGGAGGGAAAGAAGACCTTGTGGTAGGGCATGTAAATCCAATGTTGAATCACCAATCTTCGATAGCTGAAGTAGTACCTTTTGCACCCGCAATTCTTGTAGTTGTTCTTCATAGTTCTTGGGGTCATTCTTCCATGAGAAAAAGGCTTCATCATCGATCCAAGCATCTACGTTGCCTTGTTTTGAATCCAAAAACCAGCTTTTAACCATATCCATAGCAGATTTGTAAGAAAGCTGGTCACCCGCAGCATTCCTCACAGTTTTGACCAACATATCCTCCTCAACTCTTCGAAGCAGACGTCCGTAAAAGAAGGAACGAGAAGTTTCCCAATCTACTATTTTACGGATCACCCCCGTGGACGCCATTCTTGACGAAGTATCATGCAACTCTGCAAACTTTGTAGCTATCTGTGTGTATACCGGCAAAAGCTGTGTCTCACGGGTTTTAATTTGCTTCACTAAGGCATCAACATTAGCGTATACCCCCGCAGTCTTGGCTTCCTTGAGCTTTGACTTGAGATTGATAAGCTGTTGGTCAGTCCTACCCATGCACTCGAGCTGTTCTTTTGTTCTGAATCTAATTTCAATCATACCTTCTGGCTCAAGGACATTTCCCCTGGCTGTCCGTTCTGCATACATTTCAATGTGGTCGGAATTGATCTTACTGTCCACAACCACCCATGCCCCACCACGGAGTTCACCCATCATAGGGATGTAAACAAAAACAGGTTGCTTGTATGTTCTGAGGTTCTCAACAATGGTTGATCCTGCCTGAAGGATACCTTCAAAGAGATCCCTCTGTCCACCTGAAAATCCCCTCCAGTTGGCAAGAATGAAAAGGGGCAGCTCCTCTCTATTGAAGTCCATCAATGCTTGAGCTGTTTTAGTTGCAGAGTCGGGAAACCATACTTGCCCTGCTTGAGGGACAACCCTTTCGTGAGAATCAAGCTGTCCAGGATCCGCAGGGATAACTTGCTTCATAGTTTGGGTTTCAACAGCAACTATTCCTACAGGGATTCCTCCAAGTTTTGCCCTGCCTGTCACAACAGTCCTTGCCCAGCCTTCCAGTGTCTCAATGAAGCTCTCCTTGTCAAAAATGCCTCCCAACCACTTTCCACTTGCATCTGTGAAGCCAGATATGGCTGCGCGTGGATCACATGTGGTTTCTGGGAAGTATTCAACAGGTCTCTCTGGAGGATCCACAGGAGTTGAAATAGGAAGTGGACCACCACAATATGGTGGAACGAAGCTCAACCAATTTAAAATTGCCGATATCCCCTCGAGGTCATCAGAGACAGTTAGATGAACAACACCATTAGTTGCCATAATTTTAGGTCCACCAAGTTGCATGTGGGAGCTATAAACTTCCCTACCCAAAAGTTTGTTAAGTGCAGAATAACCTGTTAGAATAATTGGCTGATCAAGCCTCTGTATACATCGCATACCAAGACGAGCAAGATAAGCACCTATGCCAACAGTTCTCCCAGTTACATATGTCAAGGTAAATGTTTCATGATATGCCCGAGAATAAGCACTTGCAATGGCTCCACTACCACTTAAGTTCTCAACACCTAGGCCATCCTCGTTCCCAATAATAGTATCTATCACCCATCGAATTTCACCATTTGACAGCTTCAATTCATGTGCCATGACCGAAGATTTAATACGCTCATGATCCTCAGGAGTCAAGTATACATACTGAAAACCACGTTCAGGATTTGATTCATCAGACCATCCAACTTTGAAGCAAGACTTTACCTCCTCAGCTGCACCAATACGAGCTCCTGAATTTGCTGCCAAATAAATAAGTGGAATTTTCTGTGCGCAAGCAACATCAGTCACTGCTTGGAAAAATGCATCTTCTCTTGGGCCAAAAGATCCATTTATGTGGGTGACATCATTTGCCACAACAAGAATTTTCCTTCCTATAGGGAACTCGGGAGTAGACATTTCCATTATCCATGCCACCAAGCCAACATCATTGAATCCAGGCTGACGCACCACAGAGACAAGAGGAGTACCCCAGCTTCCTTCTTTGTCAGCAAAACTTAACTCTGTGACTTTCAGGAGGACCTTGTCCTTAGGCTTTTCTGTTCGAGGATTATGACTTGCCCAAGACTTCTCCAATGCTGCTTCAAATGCCTGCACGAGGGATTTTTTTAAGGATGTTGATATTGATTCAGATTGTAATAGCCAGCAGAATTCTACTTTTATTCAGATGTTTACCAGAGGAAAATCATAGCAGTAAGTCGTGCTGTTGCTCTTGCGAGCCAAAAGCCGTTTCTTGTCAAGCGCATCCAAAGGTGGATATGGTGCTGTAACTGGCATGCCATTCAAAGGACCATCACCAATGGCTGAATGATACACTACTCTTTGTTTTCTTGTATCTTCAACTTCTCGATAAATCTGAGAGTTCAATTTCCAATAGCATGATATCAATGTTAATAGTTTACTATGAATAAAACCAATACATGAAGTTGGAATGAATTATTTCATGACGATGGAACAACATATGTCGGTCCAAAATTTTATGGTGCTAACACAGTACTATGCACCATTTCTATCATAAGCTTGATTAACTTTAAACTCTCTACCAGAAAAGATAATAGAAGGGAGAAAATTGATAAAAGAAAGTGACCATTTGTGGTCCAAGGTCAAACGCTGGCTGATGTGTGCTCTCCAATACAGTACAAGCTAGTTTCAGATCAGATAAATCATTAAAAAATTTCACATACATGCTAAATTTAACTTACATGAACAATGCAGGTGTGACCTGTCACATTTGCAACCAAAATCCTCCAAGCACCAGTTGCATCTCCTGCAGATGACACCCAAAGTTTCACTTCCCACTCACAAACACCTAACTTATGCATCTTCACACCAACAGATGCATTAATTTCATGCGCTAGGTCTTCTAAGATTTTCTGAACTTCCGCCTCTTTGTTCTCATTATTTAGGTCTGTCTTCCTGCAAAAAGTCATGAAGTGAGCCATCTGACGACTTTTGTCCTAAATAGCAAAGCATGAAGACAAACAAGTTACTAACTTGTGGTATGGTAACAGATCAGCTATCTCTTGCTCTCGTAAAATATACAAGTACATATGAGCATGGTCAGCTTTGAGAGTCGTATTATGGAGATTGAGTTCAAGCTCTTCCAGTGCCGATGTTAAGGACCTCAAAATGCTTCTTGAAGTGAGAGACAAAGCCAAAGGGGAATGAGTTGTTCCCTGATTCAATCCCTGATACGCTAGTAAACTGTCATCTGATGTTGATTGTCTAACAAGTGTTCTGAGAAACATCCTCTGGATTGGACTCTGCTTGTCTACAACAGTATAGAGGTGCCACTGACGGTCTCGGGACGGAGTATACTTTATATTATCATAGACCTTCAGTTTTTCCTGTATTCCAGGGGAAATATGAACCTAAGATCAGCTCATGGTCCAGGAAAAAAAATAACACCAATGGTAATATAAGACACAAATAACAGGAAGAGATGAAGTTAAGCAAAATACAAACCAATTCAAGGT